TTACCTTAATCCAACCTCACCAAACTTAACCCAACTTACCTTACCCACCTCACCAAACGTAACATAACATAACTTACCTTAACCTAACCTCACCAAAGACAACCAAACTTAGCCTAACTTACCTTAACCCAACCTCACCGAACTTAACCTAACTCAGCGTAACTTACCTTAACCTGACCTCACCAAACGTAACTTACCTTATCCCAACCTCCCCGAACTTATCCTAACTTACCTTAACCCATTCTCACCAAACGTAACCCAATTTACCTCTACCCCACCCTCACAAACGTAACATAACATAACTTACCTTAACCTAACTTCACCAAATGATAACTAACTTAGCCTAACTTACCTTAACCCAACCTCAGCGAACTTAACCTAACTCAGCCTAACTTACCTTAACCTGACCTCACCAAACGTAACATAACATAACTTACCTTAACCTAACTTCACCATAGATAACCTAACAGCCTAACTTACCTTAAACCTGACCTCACCAAACGTAACATAACATAACTTACCTTAACCTAACTTCACCAAAGATAACTAAACTTAACCTAAACTTACCTTAACCAACCTCACCAAACTTAACCAAACTTACCCTAACTTACCTTAGCCAAACCTCACCGAATTTAACCTAACTCAGCCTAACTTACCTTAACCTGACCTCACCAAACGTAACTTACCTTATCCCAACCTCCCCGAACTTATCCTAACTTACCTTAACCCAACCTCACCAAACGTAACCCAATTTACCTTACCCCACCCTCACCAAACGTAACATAACATAACTTACCTTAACCTAACTTCACCAAAGATAACCAAACTTAGCCTAACTTACCTTAACCCAACCTCACCGAACTTAACCTGACTCAGCCTAACTTACCTTAACCTGACCTCACAAACGTAACTTACCTTATCCCAACCTCCCCGAACTTATCCTGACTTACCTTAACCCAGCCTCACCAAACGTAACATAACATAACTTACCTTAACCTAACTTCACCAAAGATAACCTAACTTAGCCTAACTTACCTTAACCCAACCTCACCGAACTTAAGAAACGGCGATTGGGATAACATCAAAAATGGCTCCCTGGATAATATCTTTGCCACTTGACCTTCACATCCGTTTATATTGGATTAGAAGAAGAAGGAGAAGCGAGAGAAGGAGAAATAAGATGAAGTAGGAGGAGGAGGAGGAGAAGTAGAAGGAGATGGAGCGGAAGAAGCAGGATAAGGTGAAGAAGAAGGAGAAGGAAGATGAAACAGAAGATGATGAAGAAGAAGGGGAAGGAGAAGAAGAATAAGTAATAAGAAGATTAAGAAGAAAGGGAGTAGTAGTAGAAGGAGAAGATGAAGCCGAAGAAGCAAGATAAGGTAAAGAAGAAGGAGAAAGAAGATGATGAAGAAGAAGGAGAAGGAGAAGAAGAAGAAGAAGGAGAATAAGAAGATGAAGGAGAAGATGAAGAAGAAAGAAAAAGAGAAGGAGAAGAAGATGAAGCAAAAGAGGAAGGGGAAGCGAAGATGCAGGAAGAAGATGAAGAAGAAGAAGAAATGATGAAGAAGAAGAAGAAGAAGCAAAGCATAGGTAGAAGAAGATTAATTCCCTTTCCTCCACATCTTTTAAATCCTTTGATACACAACAGCGAAGACCCATTCAAGTCCCTTCTACACTCTACACCAAATAAACACACTTACACTAACCTCCTTTCCCTTCTTCCCTTCCCCTTCTTCAGCCTCGAGATTTCACCCCCTCTTCTCTCCTCTCTTTTCCTCCCCTCCCTCTATCTCTCCCATTTCCTTCCCCCTTCCCTTCCATTTCATCTCCACCTTCCCTTTCCTCTCCCCTCCTCCTTTCCCTTCCCGTCCCTCCCTTTCCCTCCCCACCTTTCCCTTTCCCCCCTTCCCTCCCCCTTCCCTTCCCTCTCCCTTCCCTCTCCCCCTCTCCCTTTCCCTTCCCTATCTCCCTTTTCTCTCACCTTTCCCTCTACCCCTCCCCTCTTTCCCACCCCTTACCTTCTCCCTTCCCACCCCTTTCCCTCTAACCCCTTCCCTCCTCTTTCCTCCCTGTCCTTCTCACCCTTCCCCTCTCCCCTTCCCTTCCCTCCCCTCCTCCCTTCCCTCCCCTCCTCCCTTCCCTCCCATTTCCCTCCCTTTCCCTCTCACCCTTCCCTTCTCCCTCACCCCCCCCGATTTCAGCATTACCATACTCACGCCAGAATTAATTTACTGTGCTTCAGACGTGACGAACAAACCTTTCACAGCTCATTTCATTAACGCTAATTAATTCTCTCCCCCTGTCAGCTCATCCTCAGTTATCCGTTACGCCTGATTCCTTGCTTCGTCTGTTTGTCATATTCCTATTCTTTTTTTTTTTGTCTTATTGTCCTATTCTTTTCTTTCTTCTCCTTTCTCTTTCTCTAAGTCTTCGTAGTTAGTGTTTGCTATTTCATTTCTTCTCCTGTTCCTTCTGCTCTCCTTTTCCTTCGCTTTCGCTT